AGAAAGCATTTTATCATGGTAATCTCTATATGTCCGTGTACACAGAGAGGTGTATAAGAGACAGATATAATATTTTTTCATTCCCGTTGTGTGTGCAATTGAGCCTGTTTACAGCCGCCACAAAAATGAGTATGTTATTTCGCTCTTCGCGCTCAGTAAACTCTTAGGTGTAAAAGTCGGAAAAGAACTTAAACGTTATGATCGTAAATCTTGTTGGTCCGCTTTAGTTTATTTTTTACTTTGTTTGGTTTTGGTTGTGTGCTTGGTTAACGCCGCGACAAAATGGTAGATTAATGAGCAATCATTTCCAAAAAAAATGTTTTTTTATTTTCATGTAATAGAACAACTAGGCCTATTGTATGATCTAATACCACACACAATAATATGGAATATTTAAAGCTAATAAATCAGGCTTGTGTTCCAGGCCCGTATCCGGGGGTTCGTACGCACCCAACGAGACCCCCCCCCCCCAAATCGAAAAACGTCCACTAATTATTATAACCAAAAAAAAATGTGACCTTGTTCCAAGAATCATTATAAAATGAAACACATAACAGTACAGTATTAAGATTGTATGAATGTACAAATGAGTTACAATAAGTATACTAGAGTGCTGACTCCACACGCGCAATCTTTTGTACTGCCAGCAACATAACACAACAAACATACACACGTTATATGCACGTTATCGTTTAGGTGTATCTTCCTCTAACTACCAGCCGGTATGTCAGTGTATAGCAATGAAGTCAAAATTCTAGAATGACACCCCGGTTTAGAATAAAAATAAAAATGTTGATTAATTTGGTTCAAATGCTCTTAGTTGTTTGAATCAGCTCATTTACAGTCGCTTTTAATCCACTTTATATCAAACTTTGCTATTATTCATTTAAAAGCAGAATTGATTTTGAATTTTTATTCGTAATGCTTACGAATTTATACAGTAGTATTTTTCATTTGGGAAAGGATTTGCTTGTTTCTCCATGTCCTTCAATGGTAATTTTTTGATAGGCCTTATCGCTGTGTACACGGACATATAGAGATTAACATGATAAAATGCCTTCAAATTAGTCTACTAGGACGTAAGAAAGCAAATTTTTCCGGGGCCTCGGCCCCTGGACCCCGACCGGGGGCCCTGGGCGGCCCCCTGGCCCCAGCTGGGCTCGCAATTAAAACGCATCCCCCCCCCCCATCATTCAAAAAGCTGGATACGGGCCTGTGTTTCATGTTAGGCTCAAAAAACCTAGGCCAAGCACTGTGTCGCCAGGCCAAGAATGCATTATCATGTGTGTTCGCTGAAATTCGTCCACAACGGGGTCCACACACGGGTCCACAAAAGCTAAATACGAATCATTCTGTCACTGCAAAAGATTTTTCAAGTGTGGGAGAAGCATAATTATTACTTTCCTCCACTTCGCGGGAGAAACAATCATACCCTACTGGCTGCAGACGCGAGCGGCCAGGCCGGCGGACCAATTTTTTCCAAGGGGGACTGATTTTAGCGGCTAAAATCTACCCGGTGGACCGATTTTAGCGGCCAAAAGTAGTAGTCCGGCGGACCGATTTTGGCGGCCTAAATCTGTCCGCCGGACCATTTTTGGCCCGGACCAATTTTGGCGTGACAGGCACACACTTTCATAACAGTGGCACACACTAACCAGTGGTGCGTCTAAACTTACTAATCAAATAACAATATAAGTGAACAAAAGTATTGGAAACGCAAAGGTAAACAGAAAAAATCAGGGAATTAAACAAAATATTAAAAGAAAAGAAAAACATTCCAGCAATACAAAATTCAAATCATAAAAAAAGCAAAGTTTGTACAAAGTTAAAACATACTGCATTTTAGTAAAAAGCGAGTAAGAAATAATCGATTGAAAAATCAAAATCAAGATAAAAAAAAATTCCTAATAATATGGAATAAATAAGTGTACAGTATAATTGTATTTAATACATACCGTAGGCCTATACATACACATACATATAAACATATTGCATATAAATACACACACATAAATATACACATTCATATATAATATATATACATATTCATATAGGCCTATATACATGCATATATATACACACATACACATACATATAAATACACATACAAACATAATTATATATAAACACACACACCACACACACATATATATATATATATATATATATACACATACACATACACATACACACAGACCTGCACATGCATGCATATATATATTTATATTTATATAATATATACATACATATATATATACATACATATACACACACTCACACACACCCACACACACACACACCTGCAAGCATGCACAAACACCCATATTTGTACCTGAGACAACTATTATACTTATAGTTGTCTCAGATTGTACAAAAAAGAGACAAGCTCTAGAGTGCGAACGAGCACGACTTGGCTCGTCTGTCCATGTTCTGTCAGTCTCGCTACGCGCGTTTTTATGGCTTCAGCGCGGCTTTGAGTAAGCACAGCATCGGTATGAAAGACAACTAATTGGCAAAGTACCGTACTTAAATAGGACTTTTGATAGTGAAATGCCAAGATTTCCATATAGGACTTACAGTATTACACATTATTGTGAATACAGCTTCAAAATCTGTAAAAATACCCATTTAGTGGAAAACAAGAGACTTAAAACGATGATATTGATACTTACATTATACTAACCCTGTACAATAATCTTTTAATATTCCATACTTGCTGATTGCATACAATAATCAAACCTCTTTGTTTGATAATAACAGCCCATCCTAGTAAGATGGTGTGAGTGGAAATAGCTTATCTAGGACTCTGTTCCGCATCCTATGGGTCACGACCCATTGATGGTAACAAACAATGCTTTACAGGCGAATACATTCCTGTTCTGATTAACCTAAACAGAAGCCATTGGTAAAGTTTTGGATAAAAGTTTTAAAAAGTATCAAAACATCAGCCAGGTTGCGAAAAAGTTTCTAATGCCGTTCTCTACCACAACGAAAGGCTGGATTTCAATCGTTCCGTATTCTGGTGTAGAAGACGAAGCTGAAAATAGCAAGTTACTGTGGAGTCGTCTTAAGGGCAACATACACGTTTTTAGATTTTTAAAATAATTTTCGTCTTAATCTTGAAAGTAGGATTTTGGAAGAAGCTTCTGCTTACAACTAGCCAGTGCTACTACATAACATGGTAGTTATTTCAGCTGGTGCAATTTTTTATACAGGTCTCCTTGGTAAGGTTATGTAAAAAAAATGGTGCTAGGGGCCCAGGCAGAGCTTACCACGTAGGCCTACGCCTAATTATTACTGTACTGTATTTGTAGGACATTAGGCCGGACTTACACAGTATTTACCATAGGCCTCATAAACTACAGTATGATAGGCCTAATCAGGGAACAGTTAAATTACAACTTTTCCCTTGGCCTAATTAATGCCCTCTAGGTTTCGAGCTTCTATTTATTCAAGAATGGCCCAACTTCGCGCTAGGCTACTCCGTTACAACTTGTTGCATGCCTGACTGAATTTAAGGGGTCATGTGACATAGAACAGCCAATCAGGCTGCTTAACTCTTTTTCGTTGCTTAATTCATTCTTCTTCTTCTCGTATTGGAAAAAAAATATCGCGCCCCGGTGTGTTTTGAAAGCAAGGGTGGCGCCACCAGGATATGCCTGACGAGAGGTTCGATTTTGCCGGCGGGTAGGGGTCGATGTATCCGACGAGACTTTACTAGTCCTAATATGTAAAAATAAATATAATTGTTTTTGTTTGATTTTATATCCCCGCGGGGAGCGGCTGCTATCTTCGACGGAGAAAGCATTTTAACACATTGGCGGATCTGAAAGGGGGGGGGGGTCCATGGGCCCTAACTTTCTCCCCCTTGGAAAAAAAATCTGTGTACCGGTACACACATTTACATTTACTGTAATAAGAATAAGAAAAATTACCTGACCGTTTAAAAGAAGGAAAAACATTGAATTTTGATTAAAAAACACTTCAGAATTCGGAAAAACTCATTTTCGCCTACTAAGAATTAACATTTTTTGCGTGGAGGACCACTGACCCCCGTTTTATTTGGGGTTCATCGATATATTGAAAAAAGAATATGTATACAGCGACTCAATATTTGTTATGTACTGTACATGCACACATAGTAGGGCTACTTGTTTTTACAGTATAATAAAAATGAGAAGTTTCAAGCGGAGGAAAACCTTAAAATTTAAAGAACTTAAAAGTCATTAAAATACACCTCAGAAGTCGGGAAAGCTCATTTTCTGCCATCTAGTGATCACAATTTTCCCGGGGGAAGACCCTCGGACCCCCGTTCCTCTTTGAAGTTATCCATTCATGGAAAAAAAGAACACGTAAGCAACTCAATTTTTATATGTACGTATACACATATGAATGGCTTACTGTAAAAAGAATGAGAACGTTTACCTGACCGTTTTCAAGAGGGGGGGAAACCTTGAATTTTTAAGAACTTAAAAGTCATTAAAAGACATTTCGGAAGTCTTGAAAACTCATTTCTCGGCATCTAAGAATTAAAATTTTCCCGTGGAGGACCCCCGACCCCCGTTTTATTTGGGGTTCTTTGATTTATTGAAAAAAGAATATGTATGCGGCGACTCAATTTTTGTTATGTACTGTACATACACACATAGTAGGGCTACTAGTATTTACTGTAATCAAAATGAGAAGTTTACCTGACCGTTTTCAAGCGGAGGAAAACCTAAAAATTTAAAGAACTTAAGTCATTAAAAACACCTCAGAAGTCAGGAAAGCTCATTTCCTACCATCTAGTGATCAAATTTTTCCCGGGGAGGACCCTGGGCCCCTTTCCTCTTTGGGGTTATCCATATCATGGTCAAAAGAATACGTAAGCAACTCAATTTTTTTTATGTACGTATACACACATAAATAGGCCTATTTACTGTAATAAGAATGAGAAGATTTACCTGACCGTTTTCAAGAAGGGGAAAACTTTGAATTTTGAAGAACTTAAAAGTCATTAAAAGAGACACCTCTGAAGTCTGGAAAGTTCATTGCCCGCCATCTAAGAAACAACATTTTCCCGGGGGAGGGACCCCGTACCCCCTTCCTCTTTGGGGTTATCCATTCATGGAAAAAAGAACACGTAAGCAACTCAATTTTTTTATGTACGTATACACACATAAATGGCCTATTTACTGTAATAAGAATGAGAAAGTTTACCTGACCGTTTTCAGGAGGGGGAAAACCTTGAATTTTGAAGAACTTAAGTCATTAAAAGACCCCCCTAAAGAAGTCTGGAAAGCTCATTTCCCGCCATCCAAAAATCAAAATTTTCCCGGGGAGGACCCCTGGACCCCGCATACAGTAAGACGTTCCAAAGCAATGATGCAAGAACTTGTTTGGCGATAATGGGCCGGATTGGCATTGCTACTAAAAAATGTAACAGCGCGCATATATAACACTAAATTTGGAACAGGGGTGTTATAATACTACGTTGACGACCAAAAACCGCCTACCTGATACGTCACATAACTTAACTATGGGAAGGGTGGGTGAGTGACCTTTTTCTAAAAAATAAGATTATCACCTGAAACAACGACAGTGGAAGAATGCGATGCATTTTATTAAAGATAATAAATAGCAGAAGATAGAGCAGCTTTCCAATAGTGGAAAATCCGGTCGAAATACATTGTGGGTACACGGAGAGTAAGTTTACCCCGTCCGTACGGTGGCGCTATATAGCAATAATAAAGGCGCCGCTCTTGTTCGTTTGTTTCCTTTAGTTTCTCCACTTAGTCAAATGGTCAAATTTTATTCCACCCTTGGGAGGGCGGATCTTTCATCATTTTTAATGCAAAGCGCGCCACGTGCGTTCACACTGAACTCAACTGGAACAAAAAAGTTACCTACTGGCTCCAAAATATTAGTTTGTAAAACAAACTTCCATTTACCGACGTTTTTTTACTGGACTTCATGTCTTCCACCCTCTAGTATGTACCCTCTAGTGGTAGTAATTGAGAAACCAGCAGTACCACTAAAACCAATAATAATAATAATTATTATTATTATTATTATTATTATTATTATTATTATTATTATTATTATTATTATAACAATAATATTAAATTTTATTGTATAATCTTCCATAAAGTTTGGTACTCAGGAGAACCCAATGGAGCAAATATAAATGAAGATTGTACTTGTACAGAACTTATTGGCTGGTACGACGTCAAATGTTCTAGAAAAAACACATTTCCAATCTGTGAGAAAGGTATTAATTTTTTTTATCATATTGTTATTTCTAATCTCATATCAATCTCAATCGGTCTCGAAATTTCCTTATCGTTATTTTTTCCTGCTGCTGCTACGACCGCGGCTACTGTCACTGGTAATGTTATTGCTATTGATTATAACTATTATTTTTTTTAATTTGTATTATTATTAGTATTAGTATTTATTATTATCTTTCGGTAGTGCAGTAGTATTAAACATAATTAATGATTATTTAACAATTGATATTTGTTTTGTATTTCCAACCAAAGTAATTGATCTGCCTTTTTTAGCTGCAGCGAGGATTTTGTTCAAGAAAAATGATGGCTGCTCGACTGAAGTTGTAATCATGTCAGTGTGGACGCGATCCCGAGCCAGATGTGCTCATGCATGTTGGCAGACTACCGGGTGTACGTCGTTTAACTGCATCAAACATGCCAAATTGCATTTTGAATGTCAACTGGTGGAAGCAAAAAACAATGTAGGCCTATACAAGCATGAGGATGATAAAATATGTGCAACTTACAATATGTTCTAAATTACAAAACGCTCAGCACACTTGGCGATACAGTATTACAATAAATGACACTATATTATTTTCCTATCGCAAACCGTCATTATTAGTTTCATTAGCGCACAGTTTGCTTTACTTTTTTCGTTTCGTGTGTAAATAATCAAAAGAAATAAATATGCTATGCTAGTGCTTTGCCATTGGCTTTTGCACCTTGCACTACGACGTGCGCCTGGGGAGAAAGAGGACAGGCACTCACCCAATCGTTGATAATCGAGAACACTACATTCATAGAACAAGGTAAATTAGAACACGAAGAATGTCAATTCAAATTCAATATTAATTATAATAAACTACAGAAGCTGAACATTTAATAGGAATATTAAGACTTAAGGAACGACAAGGATCGATTTTAAATGTATAGCCTCTCGTATAATTTCCTCTGTTGTATGATACGCAAACACATTTACATTTTTTTACTTACATGCTGGTATCATTACCACAAAACGACATTAGAGTGTATTTCCAATTAGAAACGTACGATTACATATTGGACATAGAGACCTCATTAGGTCGAATTATTTAGGTACATCTGTACTCTTCTTCAGCGAGAAACGTTCCCGAAATATTTGATCAAATAAAGTTATGTCACTTACAGCAAATTTTCTATTTTGATATAGATGGGGTTTTGCAAATGTTGATGTTTAAGTTGTGGACAATTTAAAAATATTTCTTAAATATATTATAGTGTGACTGAACCCGACTGAATTATGCTTTTGTCTTCAAATGCTTTTTGTCCAGTCGTTCTGCTTTATGTTTGTGTTGTATAAATTACCACTTTCAAAGTATATAAATGAGTTTTGATAAGTAATATTATAATTGCGGACTGCGATCGTACAAAAAGGAAAAAAGGGAATGCCTACAGTATATCCATGTCGGAAAAATTTTTTTTTTTTTAGATGTGAATACCCAATTAATTTTTTTCAATAAGACCCTCGCTAATTATAGACAGAATATGATTTATGCCCATTTTATGTTAACGTGGTCGTTGTGTTATACAGCTTAGACTCCTTTTTGTCAATATTATGTAACTAATATTCTTAAGAATTCTGATCATCGTGATGAGGATATGGCCAAGATTAAAGATTGTGTGAGGGAATTTACTCGTACGAAACTTAGTAATTATTGTGCTTTAATCTAAATCTATCTCTTAATTTTCATGCAATGTACTTAGATAATACTGTTCCAGAGTGTGCAAAGATTTGCATTTTCATGTTTACGAGTTATATCTCATAGTCTCAGAATTGGGTGTGGAAAAGTACAAACGGAACTGCATTTGTTATGTGAATGCGCCATGACCGCCCATATACGCCAGAACATGGGTATAATTTGTAATGATATTTATTCTTTATTAGCATTGGAGCCTAAATTATTATCTTAATTTACTTATGAAATCTTAAAAGCCAGTGAAAATTAGTAAATGTTTATTACCGTAAGTTATTAGGAGAACAGTGCATTATTTAAGTCTTACCACGCTTGATATGTGTTGTAATGCCATGTTGGAGGGCGGTTACCCCGAGTTTGTCAAAAAAAACAAAACTAACTAACTAGTCATATGCCTTAAAAACATCAGCAATAAATGACATGTTTTAGAAATCGATCAGATAAAAATAAAGGTAAGCTAGGTCTCGGCACAAGGCATGATATACAGTAAGCTAGGGCCAATTATTTTTCGCTAGGCCTAGCCCAGACATAGCTAGGCTACGGCCAGGCCCCTCTCTCTTGGATCCGGGTAAATCGATTTGGATCGCCTCAATATGGCTATTCTTCGGCAATAGAGCATTAACATAGCGACACTGAAGTTTAAATTTAGGGTCAAGCCAGCTCCACCAATCAAGACCTCGAATTTACGTAAACACCAGCGTTGCCATTTGGCCTTTTTGACGGCCGTATAAATCTGGCCGTATAAAAATTCGCCTGAGCCGTAACGTTGGAAAAGTCACGGCAAAACTATAGTTGGCCGAATTTTGTAAAAAGTTTACATTTTTTTCAATGTAGGCCTAATGTAACGTAGACTTGTTTTGGATATGTTGTTTTGTGAAAAATCTTTGATTCTAATCGTGTACCTTTTTACTTAATTGAACGTTCGTAGTCGTACTCCGGGTCGAACTCGCACTAAACACTTAATGTATGTCCCCCTTTAGCCGAGTTGACGTAAGAGAGTTTATTTAAAATATTAGTAGTTACATTTAATAATTTAAAATGTTCGGATGAAATGTATATTTTTTTATGAAGTTTATCCTCGTTTAAAATTTTTTAATTTAAGACAGTTTATTGTTTTTACCATGTGTTCTTTAATGTTCGAACCTAGTGGAGGTTTCTATCTCTTTTGGTTGAGAATTGAATAAAATAAAAACAATTGTAAAGGCGCTGCAGTATTCTTTATGTGAAGTGCCATATAAATGCTTGATGTCATCCTTCGGGTTCAATGGCACCTCCAATTTCAAGCAAGTTTTGCTGAGTTAGGTTGCTCTTGAGTTAGGTTGTATATGAGAATCATGAAGAAGATGTTCTCATAGCGACATTGATTTATTGTTTTAAGTACTGCAACAATAACATTCAGAGGCGAATTTAAAAAGTTTTAGATAAAAAGTATTTAGTAAAGTTTCATAGGTTTGTCTTAACCAGGGGTGGCGCCAGGATTTGTCCGATGCCCCCGACGAGAAGGGAAGATTTCCCAGACGAGAGCAACTTGGACGTGGTAGAGCGTCGGTTAAAATGTTGCGAAAGTAGTCCAGGGGGCTTCGCCCCCCGAAATTTTGACAACTTAGCGGTTTCAAAGGCTTATTTAATCGATTGTATAGAGTCTAATAATGTGCAAAACAGATATATCTTTTTTTTTCTTCTGCCTCCCGACGAATTTAGATGGACTTTAAATAGGTCTACATGCTAGCAACTAATAATAGAATATATTTGATATGATGATGTAGCTTGGCATTTAATTATGATGATTAACTTTAAAAACAAAAACAGTGAAAGATTAACATTGTTCAGTGTATATCATTAAATTTCTTCAATTTCAAACAAATGACAGTTGATTTTCTTGTAATTTTTGAATTTTAAATGAATATTATGTACCCAATGTTGTCTTCTAATCGGATTAAAATCTGGCCGATATCGAAAAAAAGTTTGGCCGAATTTGGCGTGAGATGGCGTGTGTTTGGCCGTGAAGCCTGTCGACAATCTGGCAACACTGGTAAACACGTCGGATCAACAGGCAGGCCGGATCCAGTAAGAGTGGGGGAGGGAGAGGGGATGTGGGCACGTGCCTTCCCGTTTTGCCACAAAATCTTTGAAATTTCAATGCATATTAATGTTTTGTGCTACTCACTAATTATCTATTCTAAAACTGTTGTGTGTTTCATGATTGTTACGCCTGAGGGCGCTATACACTCTGATCACTCTCTCCGACGTGATCCGTTTGAAAAATCCTGGATCCGCCCTTCATCAAATTGCACAATAATTCCTCACAACACAAGGACTATCAGCAAAGACACTCAAAACATTATCTACAAAGACGTCCTTTAGAAAAATAATAATCATAACATCCACAACGATTGCCTCGTCGACTTCCCATACATTCAAACATGTACATAGCCACCTTTCTCCACTCATCTAACAATGTGCGGAGCACGGGTAAATGCTAGTACTGTATAATGATTACTAAACTCATGGGGATTCGGATTGAGAAGTTCGTAATCGTTTACTTCTGCACACAACATTTTGGTTTCAGACGTTTAGATAAAACCAAAGTGTTGAACTCTCGGTCTCGGAGTTATGTCGTTGAAACGCAATCCTCCTATTATTGTATTTTGAAAAGTGCTACCACGATCGAGAGGGCGTCATTTAAAAGACATTAAAAAGTGTTTCGTATCGAACTAGTGCTGCGTTTCTATGACGCATGTTCGAGTTCTGAACGCAATTTTGTTTGATTTCCGAGTTCAATCAAAGAGTACATATAACACTGCTATTCAAGCACGCGAGTTAGCGTGACGCCCGATCCGCTGTATGGGAAAAACGCCCCTAGCGTCTGTGGTGGATGCACGAATTTCGACGAGTGATGGCTGCATATAAAAACAGTAATTGTATTTGGAAAAGAGTGCATAAAGTCAAATTATTATGTTCGTTTTTAAACGAGTTATAAAGGCAAGACTTTATAAGAATAACATTATTGAAAATGTGCTATGTATTGTGGGTTTTTTATAAAGTTTACTTTAAATGACTATAGTATTTCGAGTGTTTGATAAAAGAAAAAGCATGGGAGTTTATTTAATAGTCCTCCCTATACTAAAAGACGACGATTGATTATAAACATTCATCCATACATGAATTGGTGTTCGATATATGTAATTCTTATTAAATGAGAACATATAGTTAATGATGTGTTTGCTTTGATTATGACTATGTTCTTCAGCCCTTTTCAGTCTGGTATGTAAATATAACGTTGTCTTCTCTTCAGTCAAACAAATTAATGTATAAAACAGTAGTACAAAAAGAGTCGGAAACACCAAAGTAACTTTCAAAATATTGTACTTTATTTAGTATTTTTCCACACGAACTTCAAATACATTAACAAGCAAATGAGAGTTAGGTAATGATGAGGAAAACATCCTTCTTGATATACCTTAAAATCTATTATTTACATAATAAATGAGAAAAATAATCCGTCCATCCAACTGTTAGTGACCCGGGCACTGTCTAGGAGTTAGGAGGTATTAGCACCCATATAATAATCAGGGGCGAATCCAGGATTTGAAAAAAAAAATTATTGATCTAATCTACGTAAATTTACTTTCAGAGTTTATCGTAAATTTACTTTCAGAGTTTATATTTCATTAATGAAAACTGTTTGGATATTTATTTGAAAAATATATTATATGAAATAATGTAATCGTTAAAGTTTAATAATATTTGATAATATTTAAATAAAGCAATAAGATTGAATTATGTTAAATACAGACACACAGGCCTAGTTAAGAGTCCGGTTAAAATATGTAAATATGTGTCGAAATGATATTGGCCTACTTATTTATATTTATATACATATTATGTGTAAATATGTATTAGTATATTAAATTAAATTTAACGAAAAAATGGAAGAAGCATAGGAAGAATAAAGAATAGGAAAGAATTTTGGAGCGTCTAGAACATAACAATTTCGCTGGGGAATGCCACCCCATCAATTCAATTTCACCCCCCCACTTATAGGAGGTTAAAAAAAAAATTTTAAAAAAAGAAAGGAAAAGAAAAAAAAATAATAGCCCAGAATGCCTCAAATGTTATTTTCGGACGTCTAGAACACAACAACTTCACGGGGGCATGCCCCCGGACCCCCTAGGTCAGTGTTGTTCCGATCGGCCAAACTTTCGGCCCCACTTTCAACCCCCGCTTTTGGACATCTTTGGATCCGCCTCTGTATTGGTGTGCTATTCTGATAAAATGGCATATACTGTACCATTATTAAGCAACATATTATGTTGTTGTTATTAAGCCAGTTTATTCGTAGGCCTATGTAAAATTAGCAGTACACTAACATTTATACTTTTGGATAGCATATTGAGCGCGCAATGGTAGTGAAAATAAAATTAAAGTAAATTGAAATGTGTAAAGCAACTCTCACATTATTGCGGACCGAGCACTGTGACCGTCCCGACCTGCGGTCGTAACCGACTGGAAGTAGGACATGACCTCTTGTCATTTATCGGTGGAAAGTAATAATGTCCACTTTAGCCAAATGATTACGACACGTGTGAGAGCGACTACGATTGAACTGACGACCAGCACCCACCACAATAAATTGTTCAACATGTTGAAAACTCCACGACCATGCATGACCTTTACTGGGGAGAGAATCCATATAACATTGGCATTGTTGAATTTACTCGTACTCGTAGTCGTAGGTGTGGAATCAGAAAACAGCTGCAGGCCTATTTCACTCATTTTAAACATGACTTCAACCTAGCATGATATTTATTGTATTAAAACAGATGAATGTTCTTTTAAATCAATATTCAATAAAAAATTAATATGATATGATGATGTTGAACTAACAATGTTAACAATTCTAAGCATATTACTAACCAACTCAATACTTTCTAATTTATACAACCATGATGATCTGTATCGACGTATAGGGTCGTATAGTTCGGGCGCTGGTAAACTATTGGGAGATGATAAAATATTATTATTTATTTATTTTCTTTTATCAACTTTACACTTAGGAAAAAAAGTGACGGATGCGAACCAACAAATAACAAGTACCTCAACAGCTCGCTCCTTAAAATTACTGTATTATACACACAAAAAATAGAAATATATGAAAATAAAATGCATACAAATTCTCATTTCATTTCATCATAAATTAATTAAATTGATCGCTAAATTCATTTCAAAATCTAAAATTACAATCACTTCTATATTTATATTATATATATATATTATATATATATATTATACATATATATATTAGGTTTAAGTGAAATTTGATAATGCAAAAAGACATGAAATTTAAAGACTAATATAGCCTGCCAAATAAACTACTCTCTTCCTGCATAATTTAATCTTGTTTAAAATTTAAATCGGTTTCCATATCAGGTCCATGAATTACAACGTACACTGTGACATGATACTTGTTTCCTAAGTTATTTATATTTTATGCTTTCGCTATGGAACTGCTTCTAATACAAGGGTCGTGGACTATAACATACTGTGCATAGACAGCGACTTAAATAGTGCCTTTTCTACGTAACTGTGATTTAAGTTTGATAAAATCACATTCAACAACTACATGATTTCAATAAGTTCTCCCCAGTGCTTGCAGATCTTCATTTGAATTCTTCATGGTAGGACTGTGGTTGGTTTGGACCCTTCTGCCTGAGCAATCCTTAATGCTTCCGCCGCTGCAATATCACTTTTAAACAAGTTTTATTTGAAGCTTTCATTATTAAACAAAAAGTGATTGATTGTCGTGTATTGCAGCTACCAACCAACTCAGATATCTTGAACTCTCTGCCTCTGGGAAATTTCTGAAGAAGCTGAAATAGTAAGAAAGGATATATACTGTCTCTTATACACATCTAGATGTGTATAAGAGACAGGTGTTTGTGTTATCCCCAGTATCACCAAGTATATTATTATTATTAATATTAATATTATCTGTCTCTTATACACATCTAGATGTGTATAAGAGACAGGAATCAGAAAACAGCTGCAGGCCTATTTCACTCATTTTAAACATGATTTTAACCAAACATGATATTCATTGTATCGAAACAGATAAATTTTCTTTAAAATCAATATTCAACAAAATTAATATGATATGCTGATGTTGAAATAACAATGTTAACAGTTCTTAGCGTTTTATAACCAACTCAATACTCAAATTAGTTTTCTTCCCTGCGTGGTAGGTCATTCGCTGTTTTGTATTTTCGCACGACGATAATTAAATATCTTAGCAGGGTTCACTGTTCCCTGATCTTAGTTGTTTAAATGACAATAATTCGTTAATGAAACAGACACATGTTGTTTAAATTCTAAAAAGTGGCGAGAGAGAGTGGGTACGGAGAACGCACCCCCTCCCCCTACACCCTCCCCCACTTTGATCAAATTCAGTAGGTTTAGCTGATGCCAAGATTGCGGAAAAATTAACGATTTTTATAGCATCAAGTGCAACCTTGGCTTTGTTGAATTTACCCGTACTTGTTTAGTCGTAGGTGTGGAATCAGAAAACAGCTGCAGGCCTATTTCACTCATTTTAAACATGATTTTAACCAAACATGATATTCATTGTATCGAAACAGATAAATTTTCTTTAAAATCAATATTCAACAAAATTAATATGATATGCTGATGTTGAAATAACAACGTTAACAATTCTAAGCGTATTATAACCAACTCAATACTCAAATTAGTTTTCTTCCCTGCGTGGTAGGTCATTCGTTGTTTTGTATTTTCGCACGACGATATTTAAATATCTTAGCAGGGTTCACTGTTCCCTGATCTTAGTTGTTTAAATGACAATAATTCGTTAATGAAACAGACACATCTTGTTTAAATTCTAAAAAGTGGCGAGAGAGAGTGGGTACGGAGAACGTTCCCCCCCCCCCCCCACTTTGATCAAATTCAGTAGGTTTAGCTGATGCCAAGATTGCGGAAAAATTAACGATTTTTTTAGCATCAAGTGCATGTGACTGTTTTCCTGAGATTTAACACAGAGGGGTCGCGGTGGAAAAATATGATTACCGTAATTTGCATGATGATCAGTATCGACCTATAGTTCGGGCGCTTCCGGTCAGTAATGGGAGATGATAAAATATTATTATTTATTTATTTTATTTTATCAATTTTACACTTAGAAAAAATAAAAAGTGACAGATGCAAGCCAACAAATAACAAGTACCTCAACAGTTCGCTCCTTACTATTACTGTTACTATTACTAATAAAATGCATACAAACTTACAAACACTAATATTTATAACATTCTCATTTCATCATAAATTAATTAACTTTATCGCTAAATTCATTTCAAAATCTAAAATTGCAATCACTACTACATATATAGGCCTATATATATATATAGGCCTATATATATTATATATACCAGGTTTGAGTGAAATTTGATAATGCAAAAAGATATGAAATTTAAAGATTAATATAGTCTGCCAAATAAAATACTCTGTTCCTGCTTAATTTAATCTTGTTTTAAACAGAAATCGGTTTCCATATCAGGTCCAATACAAAGGTCGTGGACTATGACATACTGTGCATAGACAGTGAGTTAAGTATTTAGAATATTGCCTTCTCTACGTAACTGTGATTTAAGTTTGATAAAATCATTTTCAAGAGCTACATGATTTCAATAAGTTCTCCCCAGTGCTTGCAGATCTTCATTGGAATTCTTCAAGGTAGGACTGTGGTTGGTTTGGACCCTTCTGCCTGAGCAATCCTTAATGCTTCAGCCGCTGCAATATCACTTTTAAACAAGTTTTATTTGAAGCTTTCATTATTAAACAAAAAGTGATTGATTGTCGTGTATTGCAGCTACCAACCAACTCAGATATCTTGAACTCTCTGCCTCTGGGAAATTTCTGAAGAAGCTGAAATAGTAAGAAAGGATATATA